GCATAAAATATTGCATACAACTATTACTATGCAGTTTTTATTAACCAATGGTCAACGTAATGTCAACGTAATTTTTGTAATAGGTTACATTATTTTTGTTGGATTAGTGTACTTTAAAATTTACTATGCCGATATGTTACTCAAGCAAATATTTCTAAAAAATCCCATAGTATCAGAGCATCAATGATTGATTTTTACTATTGTAACACCAAAATAATTAGTAATAGCATAGGTAATAGATTGTGTTTATTTAAAAGAAATAAAAATAAACATTTCCAAGTTCCTTGGTTTTATTGAAAACTAAATGGAATGGTGGTTAAATTGTAATTGAAAAATGAACTGGGATTTTATTTTTATATTATTAGGTACTATAAAATATTATTATATTCAAGTGATACTGCATTATAACTTTCTGTAAATAAATGAGTGTAAATCAATACTGATAAAGATACAATAAGAAAATAAAAATAAAACTTCCAATCTAAAATCATTTTAACAGGAAAAAAATTTACATCGGCATCAAATTAACAATATAAATGACATATATAATGATAGCTTATCACACACCCAACGATGTTCGGAACATTGCAAAGAATCGCGGATGACATAGCACTCCTGCGCATATACCCACTTGTCAATTTTGACATTTCGAATTAAGACGTTTCGTTGACGGTTAAAAAGTGGACGGAACCCGTTATTACGTTCACACGTTACGTTCTTTTTAATTATACACCGGTGTGTATTAATAAAATAGTTATAAGCACTTTTTTTTGCTTTTTAAGTGTGTTTTTTCGGAAAATTATATGTGTACTAGATAAGTTTTTTTCATAAATAGATCTTTTTTTATAGATCTTACGAAGAGTTAAAAAAGTACCATTGAAAAATAAATGTAATGTCAGTTGAATGTGATAGAGTTTGAATCGTGAATCGCTTTTTAATACATTTTGAGACTTCTTAAAATTTACCTAACCTCTTTAGTTTAGATCTTATGAATTGCTAGCTATATAGTGATTTGTCTATTCCATTTTCGTCATCGAATATTTGTAGGATTAGTCTGGTTCTAATAAGATGTGACTTCATAATATAATACATACATACTTATATTTATGACTTAATAAATTTTTATAGATTTTTAAATTAAATTTAGTAGACGACGAAGCAAACGAGTAGACGTGTCATCCGAAGGCAGATCAGTACTACATAGATTTTTTTCTTCCTGATCTCTGTATCGAATTTATCTGTATCGATATCACTTCTCTTGTATTTCCATCTACTAAGAGAACAGCCCTCAGCCCTGGATCGGATGCTTTTAAGCCAACAGAATCTAACTCTCCCTGGCATCAAACAGGGCGGCAACCTTTCCAAACCAGGTTCGGTATAAATATTCGTTCTCGCTTAAAAAATGAAAGATTCCGGAAGGTCATAGATGTATTCCCGTAAATTCGTTTCGTTTCTAAAGCGATAATAATTATCGATACTGAACTTGGTTAGTAGGGCTCCAACGCAGTCACACCTACATACGTACAAAAACTTTACATACATACTTATAAAAACAATTGCCCTATTTCTGTTAAAAAACAATGTCATCCACCGGACACTGTTTTAAAGACTCTCTTCAATCGACATCAACATCTCTATCTCCAAGACACACAGTTCAAAATGGCTTAGTTTTTTCAGTTGTATAGTTTTATTTAGGCTGGTTTTTGTAACATCTGCCCTGTTTTGCATAGACTGGATGTTGACTGATTGTCCTGTCACTCTGGCTGTGGCACCATCGATAGGCTGGTTACGGATTCCATGGGGAATAAAATTATTGGCTTAAATAGGTTAGGAGTTCGACACACAAAATATACACAAAAAACATTTAGTCATTACAACCACACTATAGCGTTTAGCCTGCTTAACGTATGGTCAGGATTTTAATTCTGCGAAGCGTAAGTAGGGGTGCGTGATATTTGGAAACGAATGGGTCGGTTGTAAGAAAATCGGCGTGAAACAACCACAGCGTAGAGTTTCGCCGTGTGACATAAGTTGCCGATCTTGAGAGATTGGTAAACCTTTCCCCAATCTAAAAATATCTGAACCCCTTTTTTGTGAGGGGAAAATCATCAAATTACTTCTCCCGCCCATGGCCGGGCAGGAGGGAGTGTCAGACTCTTACTGACTAAAAACCCCCTGTTCCTTCTCCTGCTCTGGGCCGAGGTCGCGGTGCCTCATTGCGCTTACCCTGCAACCCCGGCTGAACATCAGCCCTTTAGGGCCCCGTCTGATCCGAACCCCTAATCCCCCAAAAAGCTTGCAATGCACGTAACTTCTCTGGTGTAGCGAGTGTCGATGGACGGCGCCAATTTTTTTACCATCAGGTAATGCGTCTGCCAGTTTGTCGTTCTATCACTTAAAAAAGGAGTCCTTAACACCAGAGCATTTTCTAAGTAATAATTATATTATAAACATTGACTTTATAATGTATAGTGATTGCATATCGGAGTACTTCATGTTTACAGCATTTAAATATGATACAGTACGTCATCATTAAGAAATAATTATAATTTATGATTAATCAAGCATCTAAAAATTATTTATTCTGTTAATCTCTTACTAACTGATGAGGGTAGAAAATTTGTTAACATTGCATTTAAATGAGCACAATTTGCAACGCTTGTAAAATGCACTAAGTTTTGAACTGGTTATATGTATTAACTACACCTATTATAACATTTTGTTTACAAATAAATCTTTGACTTAGATATTTTCTGCCAGTTATCCTTTAGGTAACGCAATACAGGAAAAACAAAGATTTTTAACTAGCTTTTATTAGGACAAACGAACTAAGTAAAAACATGTATGAATCTAAATTACACAAACTTCTGATTTTTAAATCGTTGTGAAACTTATCGTATATATTTGTACCTTATTATTATTTTTATTCAGCATATAAACATATAAATTACATTTTTAAATATTTCATAAAATAATAATAAAAAACATTTAAAAATATAAAAAATAGTGTCCCACTGGTATCGGGAACAGGGTCCAAGAACCTCCTGACAATACGAGCCGTGTCCAGGAGTACCACTTTCTGAATCAAGCCCAGCCACCTAACGAGAGCCTCCTAAGATGTTGGTCGAGGCTCTTGGCTATTAAGCCATTGGCTGACACGACTATCGGTACAATGATAGCTGAATCCACTTCCCACATGTCGACAACCTCGTGTGCCAAGTCGATATACTTGATCAGTTTATCTTTCTCGGCTTTCACAAGTGTACCTTATTATTATTATGATACCATCGAGCTGGTTTTATGATAGAATCAGAAGGTATCTAGTAAAACATTGGCCTAACTACTAATAAACATAATATAAGTTTCTCAAATACCTTTCTTTTCATGGTGAGCTCAGGAGAAATCATTCAAATCTTCATAAAGTGTGATTAAAAGCGTGTTTTTGTCTTTGAATTTATATTTAAGTAAATGATGCAGTGACTGGAGGCTAAGGCGCTCTCTTCTCATGCATGGAGGTGCGAGTTTCACACTTAGCAAGTACGAATGTGCCTTTTCCAAGTTAATACATATTACCTATAATTATTTAGACGCCACTGATAAAGGGTGAAGGAAAACATCGTGAGGAAAGCTGGACTTCTAATTAATTATATGTTTGCAATCGCCAATCCGCATTGAGTAAGCGTGGTGATAAAAACCTTCTCCGTATGAGAAGAAGCCTTTGCCCAGTAGTGGGCACCTACAGGCTAATCATGTGCAATGTTGTATGAAAAATATGTTATGTATAAAATGTGTGATAATTTTATTTTGAAAAGTGACTAGTAAGTTATGTAGGTAGCTAAAACTTTGAAGTTTCTGATTGTATATATACATATGTATGTATGCTCCTGAATATATGTATGTTGTGTGTGCAAAAATGGGGTATTTTAACAAAGGAACAAAACAACAATATTTTTAAACATATTTTTTTATATTTACACATTGAAAAAACATTTTTCAAGCTACTTAGAACTACGTAAACAATCTACTATCTAAACAATAAACATTATTACTAATACTTTATACTGTTTAATCGATTCTCGTCTTTATATTAAATTATCGAAGTGACAAAATCCAATGTAGGGAACAGCTGAACTTACAGGCACATTATATAAAATGGTATTTTTAATTACAAATATAGAATTTACGAGTTCCAATTTTGAATTTTCTGCAATGAGTACAAAATACAAAGAAAATGAATACAAAGGAGGTTTTACATTTTGAAATTCCTACTAATAATAAATTGGTTTACAATATTATAATAAAAATATTTTTCAAAATATCCCTACATACTTTTTTTCCCTCCGCATTCAGAGATTGAAAATACAGTTCTTAGAATGTTTTACCATACAATTGTTTAAACAATCATTATTTCGTCTCTGAGTACGGCAATTACAAACTTAAAATTAATATTAACAATATATGATCATGCCACTTCAATAATTAAAACTTAATATACACTCAGTGGTTTTAAACGAGAATTATAATAATACTGGTTCAGGCAGAGATGAAAATCTAGGTCAAACTAATTTAACACCTAAATCTAAGTCGGCAGGACGGATTACACTGTTGAGATGTGCTTAAAAACTAAATCTAGACTAATTTACATTGACAATATTATGAGACTTGAGCGAGGACTGAAATGGCTAAAAGTTACACAGATTTTTCATAATAAAGTTTGAAATAGAAACGCCGTTTTTATGCTGCTACGCTACGGGTTTTATTCCAATGTAAACACTGTCTGTACTAAGAAAATTTACATATAGCTACTTAAAAATATAATAAGCGTAAGTTTTAAACGTAAACCGATACAGAAACTCGACACTTCCGAAGTAAAAAATTCGAATTGAAGCGGATTAAACATTTAACTAAGTGGTAACGAGTATTACGGTACTTAAACTTAATAAATAAATATCCCTGTAGTTACTTCTAATTTGGCAAATAGCGGCTAAATGCGGTGCAACTTACTGAAGCAGTTCGTATAGCGCGGAGATGTAGGTTTGTGCCATTTGAAGAGTCTCGTACTTGGAGAGCTGGCGGTCAGCGCCCAGGGATGGGAGATGTCCTCGAAGTCTATCAAACGCCTTATTCAGGTTCTGCATTCGCCTCCTTTCTCTAGCATTAGCTGCTAGGCGCCTCCTCCTCAACACTGCAGCACTGGTAGCTCGTCCACGCCTCTTCCCTGACTCCAAAACTTCATTATCTTCAGCACTGTCTTCCAAAACCTCTCGCGACAATCCTCTGTACGCGATGTGTGATGAATCCTGATTGATGCTGCCATCGATGGATGGTGTAGGCTCCAGGCTGGACCTGCCCGAGTCAGGCGACCTCGGCCAGGATAAATAGCACTCCTCAGTGGAGTACTCCAACATCACGTCAGACGCGAACATGTCTTTCTCGTAGATGAGTCGGTGCCCGTAAGTTTCGGCGGTCATTTTGGCTCGCGACGGCACAGGTGCGTACGGTTTGGCGTCCCACAGGGGTCTAAACTGCGCGGTTACCTGTGTCGCTTATATAGGGTCCTGGTTTGTGCGAAAAGGTTCGATGGGATAAGTTGTGTATGTGTGAAGGGGATACAAGAGGTCCCGAGAGGGTAATTTAAGGCCAATCATCATTAATTATTTGTTCCCCCGGGCTCTGTGTATTGTAGGAGCGTTTGGTTGGCGACTCTATTCTACCGATACAATTCTTGTTGTAGCCTTGTAAAACTATTCAGGTATTGTGAATACATGTGTGTTACAAGTCAATTGCTGATATGATAGTTTTTTTTTTAATTTATGTATTTTACAGTACCTTTTTAAATTTGTATGTACTTGTAGCTTTTAAAAGGGACATGAAAGATTTCAAGTCACAAATCCTTTAATGTATGTTATTGAGATTAAGTTACCTATGTTTTATCAACATTGAATCTTTTTCCGAATGTTTTTTTTATTATGGTATTTTTGTTTTGGGACTAGGTACTTATGCTTGATATATAGGTAGTATACTTTTTTCTGTGGCATTAAGCTAACATTAGGCGTCACGTTACAGAAAAAGGAATTGTTTTAGAAAATGTGCTCGAATTTTGTCAAGTTGTTTCGGAGTTTAGCATGTTGCAATTATTTTTATACCTTAATCGAAGATATCTCTATTTCTACTCGTCAATGGTACAACCAAATTTTGTACTCGCATTTAAACAGAAAACAGAACTAACTCATGAAATGAGGTATTTCTAAATTGAAATATTATTTTTGAATTGATTTAGGCCTCTTTTCTATTTAACGAAATATTTATTTCAAAACGGATATAAGAATGTATTTCCAGATCATACAATGTTAATTCATGCCTAACCTGGTGGAATACCAGGGCAGAGTGAACCAGTCACCACTCGACACCGTACCGACTCGGGAACCGAACCCGCGATACTTTTCACAAGATGCACCCACTGCTGGGTGAAATTCAAAACTGTCGTGTTGGTGGGCTGTTTGCGCAGTGATGTGATAAATTATGGATGCGGCATTTAACCAACTTGACGTAAGTAAGTAAGATAGATAATATAGATGTAATTTATTTAAATAATATCTAATAATTTAACTTTTTATTAATTACAAAACGGGAAAAAAGTATCTTTCAAAATAGAGCTAGGAACTAATACTTCGTAGGTATTATTAGTTCTTAGTAGTAATATTATAATTTTTAGTAATTATTATAAATAATAATTAGAAATGTGCAAAGTAAGTGTTACCATTCTTAAAATTTATCAAAGGATTTTCATTTAGACTTTATATCAATGCAAATATTAAAATATAAATACCAAAAAGAAATTACAGAAGCTTGTAGTAGACCTGCTGTCCAATGTACCTATCTACATATTGAAAAACAATTATTTACTTATTCACAATATACATTACTAAAAAGTACAAAGTACCACATCCATACTTCTTGAAACACCGTGTCCGCGCCATCGTACCCCCGGTGTGGTCCAATCACTTCGCCATCCAGCACTCCCGTACGCGAAATCAGTGTTATAGAAGAAACATTGACACAGTGGTTTACTGACCTAGCTTCTCAAGAAGCTTCGGCACGAATGGGTCGGCTCGACTGGAGTGATACAACGGCCTTAAAGGAAACTGGCGTGAAACAACCACAGCGTTGTGTTTCGGGTCCGTATGTTGTGTATATGAGAAATTGTCTGTTGGTAAACGCAGCTTATCCCAGTATGCTAAAACGTTTTCGCATTTTTTTTATGTAAAAGGTCGGCAAACGAGCAGACGGATTACCTGATGGTAAGCAATCAGCGCCCGCAACGGAAGAGTTACGAGTGCGTTGCCGACCTTTTAGGGATTAAGGATTTGGAGATTTCGGCACTGGGGAGGGATTGGGCCTCCGCTAACCTAACCCACACGGCGAAACACAACGCTGTGGTTGTTTCACGTTGGTTTTCTTAGAGGCACGTGGTATCACTCAGGTCGAGGCGACCCATTCGTGCCGAAGCATGGCTCTCGCACACTTTATAAATAATTATTATAAGAGTGAACTTCTTCAAAACAATAAACTGAATATAATAATTTAATTTAAGGAATGCTGCTCCATTTCAAATTGTTTATCTAGTCTGTTCATAAAAGCAGATAGCAGTTCGCTGAACGAATTCATTAGAAAGGCCTAAAGCGGGATACCAGGAGGCACAAACTAGTTAACTAAACTAGGTCTCTTTCGCCACTACAATTATGAGAACTGTGTCACGAAGGATAAAAATAAGAAAAAAAAACTTTTTATTTAAATTAATCATTTTTATCTTTAATGCAAACCTATCTTTTTAAGAATGTAGCACATATTTATAAATTATATGCCACTTGAGTTCTTTTTAATGATATGCTCGATATTCTCAATTCGAATCTACAATTTGAAACGAGCACTTAGCTTCACTGAGAAACTAGCTTACAGGCTATATTCTATTTTGATGGTTCAAAAGAACCTATTTATCTATACTAATATTATAAAGACGTAAAATTTTTAAGTTTGTAAGTTTTTATGTAGGGGGTAATCTTTGGAACCGCTGGTCGGTTAGCCAAAATTCTTTCACTGATAGATAGCTACAATGTTTCAGAGTCCTATAAAACATCACGCTACGATCAAATGGAGCCGAGCAGCGGGTGATACCGCGCGAGTGTAGCTAGTGGTTTATAAAGAATAAATGATTTTATCTTTGAATCAAAAGATTTCTTAATATTTTTCTCTTCATCCAATCCGGAAACCGAATCGTCATTTAAAAACAATAGATTGTTATCTTCCACCAATACTAATGTTGTCAACACCAATTAAAATAAACAACCTGAATCTCTGCTCGCCCCACAAAACGTCTTGAATGTACACCAATTCCCAAACCCCCGTGAGGTCAAGAACATAATTTTTTTCATCGATAATTTTACACGTGATTAACCCGTTGCCGCGGCTCAGATTTCGCGACCCATAAAAAATTGTTATGGGACCAGTATACCCTCGTCTTTTCTCTCAATAAAGCTAGACTACTTATTCTTTCTAGTAGGTTTTATGTTGGTTTTTCGCTAAGCTAATTCATTAGCTATGTAAATATATGAATTTATGAATTGAAATATGAATTTATATATATATTTTTCTTAGACAAATCTTATATCTAGTTTATTGGTTATAACTTTCTTCTTAATCTTTTTAAATTAAAAAAAAACTTGTACCTATAGATAAAGGTATATACACTACACAGTATAAAACAAAGTCGCTTTCTCTGTCCCTATAGGTACCTATACTTATGTTGTATATTCGCTTAAATCTTTAAAACTACGCAACGGATTTTGATGCAGTTTTTAACAGATAGTCTGATTAAAGGGAAAGTTTATATGTTTATACACACATCTATTAAACAGTGGAGAAATTTAGTATTAGCATTAGGCATTGCACCCGTGCAAAATCGTGGCGAGTCTCTAGTAATAAATAAAATATAAACATACACATATCGAAAAAGAACAAAAAAGGGAATGAAGAGGCAACAAGAAATACAAGCAAAATATTTGTCCCTTCCGATTAGTTCAAAAGGAAATTTCCTTAAATAGTTCGTCCTACAAATACAGACGATGCGTTTCTTAATCTTTGATATCTTATTTCATTGTTTACCAGCATACAGTAACAGATCGAAGGAATAAACGTAACGGAACACCGGATCAAGTTGACTGTGAAAAATTTCATCAGCAAAAAAGTTACAAAAAAGTAAAAGGTAAAAATAAAAGGTTTTCGGTAACGGTACCTCGGTGGCAAGGGTTGGTCCCGTTATCGAACCTTCGTTCCGGGGTTCACTTCCGATTTGATTGTTAGTTATAATTAGTGATTAACTTCCCAACAGTACCGTTAAAAGGTAAATCTTAAGCCATTTTTTCCGAGTCAATGATTTTATTTTTACCCCGATGCTGGAGACGAGAGAGAGAGACTGTATACAGTATTAGGGTAACGTTGGAAATACATAGATAACTATAAGATAAATAATAAATCAACTAATAGCTGGGTTTGCAAGCGATACTTACCGCATTAAGGTACCAAGGCCAAGCTCAAGACAGGAGATGGAACCGCGGGTGATTTTTAGTCAGTAAGAGTCTGACACATACACCTCTCGCCCCACCTCACCAACCGCCTCTCAAAATCACAAAATAATTTGGACCCTGAAAAACCTTTATGACGAATTGAAAGTTTTCTTCTAAATATGAGATCTAAGAATCATTTCCAAGATTCGGATCAGAGTTTATCGGTCCGGGAGCAAACCTGGCGAAAAACATTATGTAGGTACACTATCCACTTTCTCTGCTATTATGAACAAATAAAATAATAAGCAAAATCATTAAATAAACTCTAAGATCAACTTAATTCCGTAAACCTTTCTTTTTACTCAGTGTGTGGTAAAACTTTAACAATCGTTGATTGATAACATTTGCATAATTTTATAACTAAATTACAATAATATTTATTGGTACAGAAGCCAGTAAATTATATTATCTCGGCCTTTATTACAATGTTGTTAAAGTTGAAAATCTGATTCCAGTTTCAGTCTGCGCATAAATAAATAAATGGGTCAAATTTGCCCCCTACGCGGTTTAGGGTTATGCTTAAATATGAACTGTTATTTATTGGAACTAATCAATCTGGGTTTGATGAAGACATTATGATATTTATCAAATTAGATGATGTTTTGTTTTTATTTATGTTGCAGAAAAAATTTTGAAGTTTTTCTTTCCCATAGCAGCGTTTTTAGAGTTATCGTGGTCAAGTTTATTTTCTATCGTTCAATGGTACTTGTTATTCATAGTTTTTGGCAGTTGACAAATTATAACAGCAAAAACTAGACGTCCTAAAACGCGAAATATACTTTCGTAACTCTTCTAAATCGTGTGCTATTTATGATATTTTTTTACACAAGCCAAACGTCAATATTCCA